CCTGCCAAGCAGAGAGCCCGATGTGGGGCTCGATCCCAGGACCCTGGGATCATGACCTGAGCCGAAGGCAGACGCTTAATGACTGAGCCACCCAGGCGCCCCTACACAGAATATTATACAGTAGATCTATCACCTGATGATTGAGTTAGAACACAAAAGCTTGACAACAAGGCTCAAGAGAGAATATCTCTGTGGAGAAACTCAAAGTTCACAAATGTATTTTCCCTGAGGGGAGACCAGATGTACAATGAGATATTAAATATTCCTGCTCTGACCAGTCACAGATGTAAGGTGAAATTTAGAGAAGTGAGCGTGCACCAAGGCAGTCCAACCACAGGAGAAAGCAAGCCAAGAAACAGAAGCCAGGGACTACGAGGAAATGACCACAGAACTTAACTAAAATGATACACATCACACTTGGGCACTGTTTAATATTTTACTGTGCATACACATTTCAAGGTCTGAGAGTAGAAATTCACGATAAATGATGCACAGGATCTCATGCACCAGACTGTATTTCATTTTTAAGGGGAAAAAGCTGGTGCAGTGGTTGAAAAGTGCTCAAACACAGGATGTCGGACTCACTCCTATACTCTGCCCACAATGCTACACGTTCCACTAATAACACACTCATACCAGCAAAAAGCGCCCTCTGTAAGGAAATGAACACAGCATCAGTACAGCACAGTCACAAATAACCAGGAAAATACCAACTCCTTACGCAAAAACTGGTCTGACAGCATTATTCATGTTCCCAAAAGTCGCTCGACCCAGCAGTTCTCTGAAACAGTTTTCGGCCAGCACAGCGGGATTCTCTTCTTTGTCAGCGGCAGAAGGGGAAGGAGGAGGACCTGTGCGACTGGGAACAAAAAGGGAAATGAAGAAAGCTGCACGCAAGAACTCTAACACCAGTTCTAACAGCTAACAGAACAGACGTGACTCTGCAGAAATGTTAAAACGTTCTTCTTTTCTTCCAAAATACCTAAGAATAAGAAACAAACACAGTCTAACCTTTTGTTTAAAAAAGTGAATAGCAATTACCATTATTATTTTGGTTAGTTCTAACTGCCTAAGAAAAAGCATCCTGGATCTCTAAAGAGTAACATATGTTCAGCTGTAATTTCTGTTTCTCACACTTGCAACTTTCAGTATTAATTCAAACAGCAATTTGGATGCTCAGTAACAAGCAGCAAGTGTACATTTATTCTAAAAGAAATAAAACCCTAAATGTATGAGTAAGAATCTGTGGTCTACTAAGCCTAAAGATGAATAATTTTTTCAGAAAGGGCACATATTTAAACTCACTCAAGTTTACGAGACCACTATTTATATAATACTAAGGACAAAACTTGCTTATCCTGTCAAGCAAGCACACATACATATATACAAAAGTAACACACCCTCAACCCTAGTATCTTTATTCCATACCTGTCAACCTCTTCTATCTTTTGCATGTTAAACAACAGGGATGGAACAATTTTATCCATATGCTGGGGTTCCCAAATGGTAGCCCGAAGTTCATCATTAACTGTTTTGCGAACCACTCCTTGAATACCCCTGATTCCAGCAATTCGGATTCTATAAAAAAGAAAAAACTGAGTCATGAAAAAGGTTATATAAACAAGTCTGCCTGTTTAGCTAAGAGAATGGATGCCAAGTGAATATTATTATCTCAATCAACAAAATGAAAATAACACAAGTCTAAGAAATTAGAATCTCAAAAATCTAAGATAGAGGTATGGCAGTTCCAAAAGAGATTTACTTTATGTTTTTGTTTTTTAGATTTTAATGTAATCGCTACCCCCTTGATGCAGGGCTCAACCTCAGACCCCAAGATCAAGAGTTGCATGCTCTACTGACTGAGCCAGCCAGGTGCCCCAAGATTTACTCTGAATAACCATCTTTTTAAAATCAGCACTTAAAGTTTAAAGGGACTGTAAAGTATAATAATATCAAGTCTATGCATTATTTTTCAATAAAAAAGAATTTAATCAAAAGCATTAGGTTTTCCTAAGGGGATGATAATAGTTCAAACTGTTATGAACTAGAGTCTCCATTTCTTGCCTAGAAGTCTCAAAGCTGAGTGAAAAAAGAATTTCACTCTTCTTGAACACCCTTCAGTGCTTCCTCAGACTTTTTCACTGTTTCTCCCCCAAGGACCTCTCACTTCCCACAGTCCACATAGATGGAAGACTAAGCTGGTTCCCATAAAGGTATTGTGACAAAGGAGAACTACCAAAATGGGAGCACAGATAACCTCAGCCATTTTTAAACATACACATCCATGTATACTAACATATGTACACATCATGTATATGTGTGACTAAAATCTATCCACATAGGGAGAGACCCTCTCTTGCCCTATTGTCCCATCACAACCCACAACTTCCTCAAGCTATTCGCTCTTCTGCACTCTTCTTTTTTAAAAAGTCTGTATGTTCAAGAATGAGAAGAAATATGATTAGAAAACAGCATATAAAAGCCGGGGAGGAAGAATCTCACAAGCAGAGCTAACCTGATCACCCATTTGTCCCCAAACAACTTCCTTCTGGCCCAATTTGATTGTTATTTACTTCTTTTTTTGCTTCTACCGAACTATTCACCAGTAGAGGTTTGTTTAGCTTACCCAGCCAAGTCTTCTGAAAGTTACAGGTTTTGAAGAATGAAAGATATGGGGAAGGGGGTGACTATGCTTTACAAACCCATGAGGACATAACACAGGCACTGAGGAATGGCAGATGGAGAAAAGGGTAACAGGATACTGAACAGGTAAGAAAGTGAACAGGAAACACAAAGACAGATTTTGCCTATTTCAAAGCTGTGTCTATAAATTTCGCCTTCTAAAACAAAGTCTCAAGAGACTCTTGCAGAGCTATCACAAGTGGGCAAGACTGGTATTACTATAATAGTGTCTCCTTTGTGTGCGTGCTGTTACTCCCTGGGTGATGAGAGGACCAAGCACAAAGTGGCAAAGAGCACATGGACAAGATGCTACAAGAAGGGGGGAACTATCTATAGCTACTACAGATCAACACCTGGCATCCAATTCAGATCTAGATCTGGCCTAACCAATATATTCTACCCATGCCCTTAAAGGAATTTTACAGTTTCTTCATCAGTAAAATAGAACTTGTCTTGACTAAAGCATAGGAATGTTGTAGGGATCTAAATGAGTTAATGAGCTAATTCAATTACAGTGTTTACCCAGTAAGATGTTAAATAAATTGGCACACAATTACTCACTGTTAGCTGCTCCTGCTATTGTTAATCATTATTATGCTGATGATGATTGCTACCGTAACTGAAGGTTGCTTAGAAAATTAGAGCTTAAGATTATGATGTAGTACTTTACAGGTGGGAAGCATTTCTGCAGGGCAAATATGTCAAGAAAATCTTAAGTTTTCAGCCCCATTTCCTAGCGCCCTGAATTCTATTTGATACAGTTTTGCTAAGAATAAAGGGAATGATAAGTAACTAAGTTAGAACCTAAAAAGGAGTATTAATATGCCTGAAGAAAACCAAAAGGACTTTCACTTAAAACAAAGCAGGAAAAAAAAAAAATCAAATCCTAAATCTTAAAAGCGTTTTGGCTTACTCATTTGTTTCACAGTGATTCAAACAAAATGTCATTTTGGAATTTCAAATATATAATTCTGGAAAGACCGAGAATTAGGAAAAAGTTCCATAAGGCTTTTCTTTTTTTTTTTTTTAAAGATTTTATTTATTTATTTGAGAGAGAGAGAATGAGAGACAGAGAGCATGAGAGGGAGGAGGGTCAGAGGGAGA